CAAGTGCAAGCTTCCGCAAGCGCAAGCAAAATATAAAGGCACGAAGTGCAATCGCGCGTGTCATTGTTCTAAAGCATGAGTGAAGGCGTCGACGGGTGCGGTGATTCATCGAATGGTGAAGACGTGGCATTCATAGAGAAACATAAAGAAGAAAATGATGAGTATGGAGATAGCTATCCTCTGCTCACAAAAGAGGATTTACTGAGATTAGACGCTGAGCAGCCAATTTGGCGTCGGGTGCGAATTGCACTCATTGCTCTATTTTGGGTGGTGTGGGTTTGTCTCATAGTCGTGTCCATCCTCTACATTGTGCTAACACCGAAATGCCCACCACGACCGGTGCAGTCGTTCTGGCAATCGAAGGTTGGCTACTGGGTTAACCCGTTCGCGTTCAAGGACTCGGATGGCGACTTGGTCGGCGATCTGAAAGGTGGGTGGTGATTGTGTGCAAAGGTGACGGTGTTTGTGGTGCAGGTTTGTTGAGCGCCGGTGACTACATCCAGGAGAATGTGGGTGCCGGTTTTCTTGTTTTGACGTCCATGTCACCGCTGTATCCGAAGATTTTGCCGGAGGTGGATAGCGTGTCCTTTGCGAGCATTCACCCGGCGCTGGGCACCATGGAGGATTTTGGCGCCTTGCTGCGTGGCTTCAAGAAGAGGGGCATGCAGACTGTGATCTCGCTTAACTTCAATGCGGTACCGCTGAACCATGAGCTTGCAAAACCGGCCTATCTGGTTTCTGCTACGCCTGAAGACAAGGTAAGAGTGGTGTTGGGTGGGTGGTTTGACAGGACTCTGTAACTAGTTTTGCCGTGCGGGTAATGGGAGCGCGGAATTGATGGATGGCGCGATGTTCTACTCGACCTACGGAAGTGGTTCGGGTGTGGTGGATTTGAATCTGAAGTCGCCTGAGGTGATGGAGAAGGTGAAGAACGTGACAAGATTTTGGTTGCACAAGGGTGTGGACGGCATTCTGCTGTCCGATGCTGCGTTCTTTGTAGAGGAGGGCACGTGTGCCTCGGATAAGTGGTTGAGCAGCTTTCCCACCTGCAAGCTCTACACAAATGGGACGGTGGGGGTGATTCAGGAGCTGCGAAAGGTTGTCGATGAGGTGTCGAGTGAGACCTCGCGTCCGAGGTAATGTGGTGTTGGATGTAGCATGTGCTTCTTGTGTAGAGTGCTTATCGCCGATCCCGGTAACACTGGGTATGGTGCATCGACGAAGGAGGACGCGGAGAAGTTGTTGGGCACGGAGGAGGCTCCAGGAGCGCATCTGGTGATCAGTCGACAATTTGCATTCCAGCGTGGATTGTAGGTGTTGGTGTTTGTATTTGTGCGGTGATTGTGCATGTTTGCTTTTTAGCCATGGTGAGGAAGGTGGTGCTGCCAAAGTGCAGAGCTACTTGGAAACAACTGAAGTGACTTTGCGGAGCCAGTTAGCATTAGTGACTGCCTCGCCGAGTGACAAGCCGTACACAAGTGTTTATTCGACCGCATCGATGTTTTTGTTGCCGGGTGAGTTGTGTGATTTGTTGTTTTTCGTTTGTGATTGTGCAAGTGAGGCGTTTGTAATCCGTTTGACTGGTGTACTCGCAGGTACGCCTGTGATTTACGCTGGAACTGAAATAGGCTGGACTCCGTCGAGTGTCATGCCACCGTCAATGCTGTATCCGTTTGGCCAATTGCCTGTTGTGGATAGCGTGAGTAGCCACCTACCGATGCCGTGGGATTCGCACGGTGGAGGCTTCTCCGACTCGGTGAACGTGAGTAAAGCCTACAGTGCCTACACTGCTGGTCTGAAAGTAGTGGAGACAGTTGAGGTAATTTGTATGCTCGTTCACTTGTCCTATACCTCTCCCCCTCCTGTGTATACGCACTCTGGCTTTCTCTATTACAGACTGCATTGGCAGCTGGTCGTGGTGCGAGTATGTTCAGTCTGACTGCCTCCTTGGTGCAACTTCACAAGGAGTATCCAAGCCTCCTATGGGGTTCCCTCAACGCTACGATGAATGTACCCAAGGTTGTTGTGTTGTTGTTGTTGTTGCTGCTGCTGCTGCTGAGGCTTTGGTTCGGGTGCGTTGACTGTAGTTGGTGTTTTTGTTGTTGTAGGCAAAGGATGTGGAGGTGTTCAAACGCAGTGCGACCGGTTTTGACAGCATTGTGGTTGTGATGGTGGGGACCGAGGGCGGAAGTTCGGTGTTGGATTTGTCGTCGGATTGTTCATCCCTAGTTCCGTTGGTTGTCTATCCGCCCAGTGATGCGTTCGCGACAGGAGTAGAGCTGTCCAGTTTGAAGGTGTACTTCCAATCGGGGAAGGAGTGCAGTCTCTACGTCTTCAAGTGTGGTGTTTAGAGACGTGGTTTTCGTGTTTGTTCGTGGGATGCGTGCATTTCCGCGTCCCTTTTTGTAGTGTTTTGATGTTCCTAGATGTTTGCTAGCAATATGAACGGTATTCGTGATTTGTGGTGTTGTCCTTCTACATGGGGAATGGAGTTGGTTGGTGTTCGAGTAATGCCTCGTAGCAGTCGCTGGTTAGTGGTGTGTGGGGTCGATCGTGGATGAATTGTG